TCCACTAATCCTACTCACTTCATACAAGAGTTTAAATATATTCCTTGCAGCTATGATCTAACCTGGCATGATCTCTTTATGATTCTCCAGTCTACCCTCACCCCTGATGAGAGACATAAAGTCTGGACAGCCACAAAGGAATATGCTAATGAGCTTCATTCTACTAACCAAGCTCATCCTATTGGCAGTAAGGCAGTTCCCCTTCAGGACCCTGGGGGGGATTACCAACCCCCACCAGGAGGTCAGGCAGGACCTTCCCCAGGTAGAGCAGCCAGGGACCACATGATCACTTGCCTCCTGACAGGTTTTCAAAGAGCTTCTCCTCCTAAGGTAGTTAACTTTGAAAAGCTTAGATTAATTACTCAGGGCTCTGCTGAAATCCCAGCTCGGTTTATGGACAGACTTACTGATGCTCTGGTCCAGTATACCAAGTATGACCCGGAGTCTGCAGAGGGACAGCTTATGCTTCACCACCACTTTATCTTACAATCAGCTCCAGATATTAGAAGGAAACTTAGGTGCTTAGACAAGGGCCCTGAAACCCCCACGAGAGATCTGTTGGACACGGCATTAAAGTATTTTATAACCGAGAGGAACAGGAGAAGGCAGAAAAGCTTACCCTGTCCAAGCAAAAGTACCAGCTTATGGCTGCAGTCCTAAGGGCTCCTCCCAAGAACACTTCAAACACCAATGGGGCCCAACAACATCCGCCAGGACCCACCCCCTCCCCCGTGTCAAGCCATACCTGTTCCCACACCCAGTCTCAGCCCCCTTCCCATGGCATTTTTCCCCTCAGGGAGGTGGTAGGCGTGGACGGGATTGTCAAAGTCCATGGGCCTTTCTCTCTTGGAGATCTATCTCAGCTCAAACACAGACTAGGCTCTTTTTCTACTAATCCTACTCACTTCATACAAGAGTTTAAATATATTACTCGCAGCTATGATCTAACCTGGCATGATCTCTTTATGATTCTCCAGTCTACCCTAACCCCTGATGAGAGACATAGGGTCTGGACAGCAGCACATGAGTATGCTGGTGCCTTTAAGAGACCCTGTCTCAAAAAGCCAAAAACAAAGTGCTTCCTGTAGCCCCAACTGGCCTGGAACTCACTATGTAGACCAGGCTAGTCTTGAACTCACAGAGATCTGCCTGCTT